GTAGAGAGGGTTACAGTAGTCTAGCCTTGAGGTGACCGTCGCATGGATCACTGTGGCTAGGTCATCGCGGTCAAGGAAGGCAACCAACTGCCGAGCCAGCTGAAGATGGTAGAAGGCCGACTTGGCAGTGGCTGCCACCTGGGCCTCCATAGTTAGCGAGGAGTCCAGGAGCACTCCCAAACTCCTAACCTCCAACGCTGGCACCAAAGGCGCCCCATCGAAGGTCGGGAGAAGGAGCCCCAACCCCGAACCGACCCGACTCAGGCCCAGGACCTCCGTCTTCGCCGGGTTTAGTTTCAGCCGACTCAGTCTGAGCCAACCAGCCACAGCTTGCAACACCCGGTGAAGATCTTCTGGGCTGGAGTTTGACTGGCCGCCAGGCATAAGCTAGAGCTGGGTGTCATCGGCATACTGATGACACCCAAGCCCATACCTCCGGGCAATCTGGGCAAGGGGGCGCATATAGATGTTAAACAACATTGGGGACAGCACCGCCCCCTGCTGTTCCCCTATCGCCACCCTTTGTCCCCAACCTTGGAGAAAAGAGGCAAGCCATTGAAGGGTGAGCCCCTGAATCCCCATGTTGGCGAGGCGGCGGGTCAGCAACTGGTGGTTGACCATGTCGAACGCGGCCGACAGATCTAACAACAACAGTGTTGCCACACTGCCTCGGTCCAGATGCCTTCTGATGTCGTCAGCAAGAGCGACCAGCACTGTCTCTGTCCCATGTCCCGGGCAGAAACCAGACTGGAAAGGATCTAGGATAGAAGCATCATCCAGAAAGCACTGTAGCTGTAACGCACCACCCTCTCGATAAGTTTGCCCAAATATGGCAAATTGGACCCCGGCCGATAGTTGGCCAATTTGGCCAGGTCCAGAGATGTTTTCTTCAAGAGCGGGTGGACCATCGCTTCCTTGAGTGCCACCGGGACCCGCCCCTCAAAGAGGGATTTGTTGATAATCTCCCTTAGGGCACCTCAAAACCCCTCGTGGCCCGCTTTAATGAGCCAGGAGGGGCATGGATCAAGGCTGCATGTAGTTGGGCGTACAGATACGAGCAATCTGTCAATTTCCTCCAGACTGAGTAGGCTGAAACACTCTAAGCCCGGAACTGAGGACGTGCAAAGGGCCTCGAGTTCACTTTCAACGGCCTCGAGTTCACTTACTGTTTCAACTGTGGTGGGAGGTCATGGTGGAATGCCAAGACTTTATCTGCGAAATAGCTTGCGAATGCCTCACAGCCAATATCCAATTCCCTAACGTTTTGTCTGCCCTGTGACAGAGCTGTTAAAGACTGAATCATTCTAAACAGTTGGGCCGGGTGTGAGCTCGCAGATGCAATCGTGGTTGCATAGAATTCTCTCTTTGTGGCCTTGACTGCCATCTCATAGGATCTCATAAATGTCCTATAGGATGCTCTTGATGCCCGTCTCCAGGCAAAATAGCTGTTGTGTGTTGGGGGGGGGGACTTTACTCTGCAGAGAGCTGCTGCCAGGCAGAGTAGGCAATGCTGAACAAGATGGGCCCAGTGATGTGGCACGCGGTGTAAGGCAGCTCCGTGCATTCGGGAGCAAAAAGCCACAGCTGTTCCCTTCTGCTTTAGCCAGAGGGCCCACTGCTCTGTGGGGAAGCATCTGCTTGGCCTGCAGAAAGACCTCATCAGAGTTTCCCTGTAAAGAATGGCAGGTGGCGGGAAGGACCTTGCTCAGAGCCTGGGTGTCCCCTCGCTGTCAGAGGAGGTAAGGCTGAGCTCAGTAGACTTTGTGATGTGTCTTGATGTGGCAGCTTCACAAGTGGAAACCGCAAACTGGAGCCTCCCAACGTTTTTGAACCTGTATAATTCTGATACAGGGTGGTGGGTGCAGACACAAGATGGCTGCTGCAGGAGGCGGAGCCAACCACAAACCGTCAGGGCGGGGAGGGTTAGGCATAACTTCAGCTGTGCTTGACAGGAGGACACCTGTTTAGGTGAGCCTATTGCTGAATGGTATTTTCTTCCTCATACGTGGCCCGTCTTACAGTGCTGTCGTGGCGGCTGTTGCAAGACCATTCAGGTTTCCATTGATCAGCAAAAGCCCCAGCTGGCCACATCCATTTCCTTGAAACCCTTAGAGGAGGCCAGGAGAGGTGGTGGCAGGCACCGCGGGCACCACGTTGGGGACTTCTGCTGTACAAGTCTTGCCTTTGTTGCTGTTTTTATTTTTATTTATTTTTCATATTTGTATCCCACCCATCCCGAAAACGGGCTCGGGGCTGGTCACATCATCTTTCAAAAATACAATAACGTTTAAAAGCACAGTATAAAGATTTAAAATCAGTAGTTTTAGCTACTGGTGAAAGTTCCGACCCATTAATACCGATGGATATAGCCGGTTGCCGATGGATCTTCGGGAAGCACTGTTGACTTAAGGAAATGGGTTTATAAAGAAGATGCCCTAATTGACAAATTTCTAATCAGTAAATCAAAATTTGCTCCATGGTACAAAACCATCAAAAAAGACCATCTTAGAGCACGTTATTTGACTGATATGAGAACTTATAAGCTCAGGGTAGCACTCTCATCATCATTACGTTTCCAGTCAATGACAACTGAGATGCTGCTCTGACGATACCAAAAAAACCCCTGTAGATCAGCGTATATGTATCTGTGGAACCTCGATTGAGGACCTGCCACATTACGTTCTAAATTGTCCCTTACATTCAGAACCAAGAGAAAGATTTCTCGCCAACATATTGTCTGGTCTCCATCTTTTTTCTGACTCTAGTTAATTTTTATGTTGTCAGATATTCTTTTGTTTTAACAGGACGGCACTTTTTGCTCTAGCTGCCCCGAAAATAAGAGCAAATGTTGCAACTAGGAAAGTATCAAATGATACAGCTGCTGCCAGCTAGGTAAAGGTAAAGATTCCATTGCTCGAAAGCCAGTCGAATCCGACTCTAGGGTTGCGGTGCTCATCTCCGTTTCAAAGCCGAAGAGCCAGCGCTGCCCGAAGACGTTTCCGTGGTCATGTGTCCGGCATGACTAAACACCAAGGCGCACGGAACGCTGTTACCTTCCCACCGAAGTGGTCCCTATTTATCTACTTGCAATTTCTTGCTTTCGAACTGCTAGGTTGGCAGGAGCTGGAACTAGAGACAGGAGCTCACTCCGTCTTGCGGCACCCGGGTCTCGAACTGCTGAACTACCGACCTTCCACAGCCTGCAGTTCAGCGTCTTAACCACTTGCTAGCTTAACACTAGCTAGTTTGCTAGAAATTATCAGATTTTAAAGTTGACCAAGTCTTAGATAATATATATATATTACATTGTTATACTTGACTGATGTATTTTATTGTTTTAGATTGTGGAAGGCCCATGGCCATATACCATAAATTTTCTACCTACCGATGGATGGCGGGCGGGTGGGTGGGAGACGGCAACCTCGGGGAGGCCATATGCGGACACCCGCTGCCTCAACCAAAAGCCTGGCAGAACGGCTCCATCTTGCAGGCCCTGCGGAACTGAATAAGATCCCACAGGGCCCTGATCTCGATGGGGAGCATATTCCGCCAGGTGGGGGCCACGGAGAATACCTTTGTACCTGCCTTAGGTGTCTCAGTGCTTGTTGCTGCCTTCAGCTGTGTTTCCCCCATCCTGCCTGTGCCAGCTGTCAGTCACCCGGTTGCTGCTCCGCTGTCTGTGAGTGGCTGGGAAGTTTCAGAAGGCAGGCTGAGCAGGAGCGAGGCGAAGCAGAAGTGAGCGAAGGTGGTGGTGGGGAGTAGGGCTCTTTCCAGTGCGGAAACACAGCCGTCGTCTGTACGGGGGGAAGTTAATTTGAGGCTCTGATTCCCCCAAAATAGAAACTCAGTCACTCTGAGGGGGATGGGAAGGCTTTCCATTTGGGGCAATACGGATGTGGTTGCAGATGAACAGTGCCACGACCTCTGAGCCAGTTTGCCTGTCCTGTTGAATCACTTGAGGAGACAGAGAGATGCTCTGCAGCTCGTTCTTGCTGGGGGCAGGGAAGGCCAGAGTGGCAGACTCACAGGAGCTGCTGGGGAAAGAGGCCTTAAACATGAAGCAGGAGGCGGCCCGATCGGAGCCTTCTGCTTCTCTGCCCGCAAGAGCAGCTGTTGATGTGCTGCATGTCCAATGGCACCTCTCTCTGGTGCAGCGCCAGTCTTCTGCATTCCTGGATCTGGCCCTGCCCCTTCCTCCCTCTGCTGCTCAGTGCCTTGGCCTCTTCAGAGAGCCAGTTTGGTGTAGTGGTTAAGTAAAGTAAAGGTAAAGGTTCCCTTGCTCGAAAGCCAGTTGTATCCGACTCTAGGGGGCGGTGCTCATCTCCGTTTCAAAGCCGAAGAGCCAGCGCTGTCCGAAGACGTTTCCATGGTCATGTGGCCGGCACGACTAAACACCAAGGCGCACGGAACGCTGTTACCTTCCCACCGAAGTGGTACCTATTTATCTACTTGCAATTTCTTGCTTTCGAATTGCTAGGTTGGCAGGAGCTGGAACTAGAGATGGGAGCTCACTCTGTCATGCGGCACCCGGGTCTCGAACTGCTGAACTACTGACCTTTCACAGCCTGCAGTTCAGTGTCTTAACCACTTGAGCCACCGCAGCTCCTAGTGGTTAAGTGCGTGGACTCTAATCTGGGAGAACCGGGTTTGATTCCCCCACTCCTCCACTTGCACCTGCTGGATGACCTTGGGCAAGCCGTAGTTCTGATAAGAGCTGTTCTTGAAAAAGAGCCGTTTCTGTCAAGAGCTCTCTCAGCCCCACCTACCGCACAGGGTGTCTGTTGTGGGGAGGAGAAGGGAGTTTGTAAGCCGCTCTGAGACTCCCTTGGGTAGTGAAGGGGGGGTATAAATCCAATCTCCTCCTGTTCTTCTTCTTCTTGCCCCCCTCCCCATTTCTGGCATCCATCTTTTCCCTCTGGCGATGCCCCTGCCCCGCTCAGACCCTGCTCTCCCCCAGGGCGCCGCAGCTTGTCTCTGACGTTCTCCTTCCTTGCTTTCAGGTAACGGAGCCCAGCGCAGCAAGCCGGGCCGGCATGCCGAGGCAAGCCGTGTGCCAGAATGAGTTTAAAAGATGCCGGCGGTGCCGTGTGCCAAGATGGGGTGGCCTACAATCTCCACATTTACCCGCAGCTCTCGACAGAAAGTGCCTCCTGCTGCCGGGTGACGGCCACGAAGGATGCCACCACCACTGAAGTCATCCAGGACGCCATCAGTGCCTTGAACCTGGACGTGTCGAAGCACTACGTGCTGGTGGAGGTGAAGGAGTCCGGGGGGGAGGAGTGGGTGCTGGATGGGAACGACTCTCCGGTCCACCGGGTCTTGCTCTGGCCCCGCCGAGCCCAGGACGACCA